TGTATTAAAAATACCAAATTCTGGGGCTGGAGAGGTGGCTCAGTGGCCAAGTGCACTGGTTGTTCATCCAGAGGACAAGGATTGACTCCCAGTACCCACACAGTGGTTCAAAACTCTAACTCCGCTTTTGGGGGATACAATGCTCTCTTCTGGCCTTTGCTGGTACCGGGGACACAAGGGGACACAGGTGAGGGTTCAGGCAAAACATCCATACACATAAAATATATAAAAATTAAAAAACCAATTCTGAGAATAAGGCAGCAGTAACAATGGTGAAAGCTGCTGGCGCTTCTAACACGGATGCAGCCCAGGCAAGAACAGACTTGGGTTGCCAGTCAGGGCAAGGTAGAGAGAGCTTGGAGATGTAGCTGTCCACCTCTAATTTGAGAGGACCTCATGAGCCTTTGCTTTGTTTCTTAGCCCTTCACATCATCCCCACCCTAAGGATCCGAGGGAACACAGCTCTGAAGGGAACAAGGGTGGATCCAGGCCCGGGATACTGGTTTAAAAAGGTTTTGTGGGGCCGGCAGATGGTTCAGTAGGTAAAGGTGTTTGATGCAAAGACTGATGATCGGATTTCAATCCCTGTGACACAGACAGAGGCAGAGAACCAACTCCTGCAGGGTGCCCTATGACTTCCCCACATATACCACGGCACACATGCACTCCATGATGGCCCCGACACAAACACATGTTAAAAAAAAAAACAACCCAAGATTGCCTGGATGAACAGACAGTCTCAAGTACTCTATCCCAGTTTACATGAGTGACTGATGCTGACACCCAGGGAACTAGTAAGCGAAGGAGTAAGGTTCAGAGAAAGAGACAGACAGAAAGACAGGCCCTCAGCTAAACAGCAACCACGTGAGAGAAACAGAGAAGATATTAATATGTCCTCACCTATTCCTGAAGACCATCAGGGTCCTATTAGGATAGAAAGGCACTGCCAATGCCTACCAGGATGAACCATGTGTGTGTGTGTGTGGTGTATAGAAATTTGTGGGTGGATGGATGCATTGATGTGTTCAAAGGTCAACATCAGTTCCTTAACCACTCACTACCTCATGCTTTGAGACAAGCTCACTCACTGAACCTGGGGTTCACCAGTTCAGTTAGATCAGCTGGCCAGTGAGCCCCACTGGGGCTAGAGACATGAACCTGTCTCTGTACATGGGTGCTGGGGATCTGAACACAGGTCCTCACACTTGTGGGCCAAACACATCACTGACTGAGGGCCCCCACCCTCAGCACCAAATCTTGTTTAAATAAGGTACCCAAGAGCAACACTGCTAACTTAGGGTGGGAACGCTGATGGTGATACTTACTGACCCCTTTGTCATCTATGCCACATCTGAGCAGGGTACTCCAGAGGGCACGACCCCACTTAACCCTTAGATGAAATTTATAAGCTCTATTAGGCTCGCCTTGCTTTTTAGGGTTGAACACAGTAGGGAATATTGAGAAAACTTCTTGAGTGACTAGAGCCCGACCCAGCCCTGGGTCTGAGTCAGTAGGTTCTGCCTGTTTCTATGGTTTCATCAGCGTCCAGTCTTTAAAAAACACCCCCTTCAGTCCTCAGGAAGAATGCAATTGGCTCTCATTTAAAATGTATTTAACAAAGAGAAAGAATTTTCCGAGCTAACCTGGAAATCTGCATTTTCAACCTACTCTCCTAATGCAAGACAGCAATTATCCACTGTGTCTAGGAAGGAATGACCCAAAGGCACTCCTTTCCAGGGAAGGGGAGCCTGCATTTTAACTGGGGCTTCCAACACACATTGTCTTTTTTATTTGTTTTAAGAAGTAGAACTGTTTGGGGAGGAAAAAAAAACCTTCTAGCTAAAAATCCACTAGCAGCAACCTTGCAATTACACTCCTCTGTGGGAGACTTCTGTCTTCCATTCTGTTTTCCAGATGAAGAGGTCTGCTCGTCAGTCACGCCAAAGGCCAATGTTGCACAACTAACTGGAAAAATCCAAAGCTATGTAGGCTTGGATAAGACTCTGTGTGTGTCGTGCATGTGTGTGTGTGTGTGTGTGTGTGTGCGCACACACACATGCGCACACGTATGTACATTACAATTAACAGCTTTATTTTAAACCAACTTCTTGTTAGTCACCTCACCTGTCCTCCACAGAGGGACTTTGTTAAGGTTAGCCCCAGGACTGTGGACCAAACCTTACGCCCCATCAGCTTGTACCCTTAGGCTGGGCTTCTTTTCCATTCCAGACCTTGCCACTTCCTCTCTTTTCCCTTTCCCTTCGGTGTTTCCGTCATGGAAGACTGACAAGCTTGCAGGTGGGTTGCTAGGCTGCTGTGGTGACCAAGTCCTCAGAAGGGCCACACTTGCCTCCTGTATGCTGTGTGTTGGTGACTCTAGCTTTCACAACGGGTAGAGCCCACCAGCGGGGACTCTACCTCCAACGTTTTACTATGGCGAAGACAGGCCTCAAGCTGGAAAAGCTCACACATAATTTTGGCAAGGGGACTTGCATCCAATTTATTAGTCTTTTCAAAGAGATACATACACCTATGGGCGATGTGGGACCATCCTGGGAATGACTATATGAATTTGCAGGAAATGGCAAGACCTCAACAGGAATTTTCAAACCATAATTCACTATGAGATGGGAAAGGATTTTTTCTTAAGCACGATTGTGGATCTAGCTCAGAGACAGAAGACAGGATTGAGACAAACTGGTGAAAGTGAGGAAGTGTAGAAATGAATAAAAACTTTTCACAAATGATAAGGAAGCAGATCCTTTGGGTTTGTAGATAGCAATTTCTTATTTGTCATAATACACCTTAGGAAAACAGCCCCCCCGCCCAAGCACAAGAAAACCAACAGGAGTGCTAATGTGACAGACTTTTCCATCCTGTAACAGACCCGAGGGGCGAAATGACAACCCAAGAAATGGCTCTCAAGGCTGCTCATCAGCCCTACAGGCTGTTCCCTGAATGACACCGAAGCCACCATGCTGTCTGGCTCCAAATGTCCTCAAGTTAGGCATTGTTACAAAGGGTACCAAATCATACCAAGTCAGTCACATGACCTTACAGAGACCCCATGAATCCTGCATGGAGGACAGGGTAGAGTTCTGATGTCCTAATAGCAGAGGACAGTGTTATATCAAGGACTTGCCTAGAGAAAATCACTCAAAAACATGCAGCTATAACTGTAGCAGTAACAGTAACAACAACAGTAACAGCAGCAGTAACAACAACAGTAACAACAACAACAGTAACAGTGGCAGTAACAACAGTAACAGCAGCAGTAACAACAGTAACAGCGGCGGTAACAACAGTAACAACAACAGTAACAGCAGCAGTAACAACAACAGTAACAGCAGCAGTAACAACAACAGTAACAGCAGCAGTAACAACAACAGTAACAGTGGCAGTAACAACAGTAACAGCAGCAGTAACAACAGTAACAGCGGCGGTAACAACAGTAACAACAACAGTAACAGCAGCAGTAACAACAACAGTAACAGCAGCAGTAACAACAGTAACAGCAGCAGTAACAACAGTAACAGCAGCAGTAACAACAGTAACAGCAGCAGTAACAACAGTAACAGCAGCAGTAACAACAGTAACAGCAGCAGTAACAACAGCAACAGCAGTAGCTAACACTTGCTCATAGCCTGGCACTATTCCGACTGCTCTGTGCCATCTTTAAACCATCACACTACAAACATGAGGAAAGCATGGCACAATTTAAGTAGCTTGTCTAAGTCACACTGGTGGCATCTGGTGCCTGGCTACACTATGCCATAGCCCTGGCTCCCAAGTACAGCCTCAACTACATAAGAAGGTAGAGGAAAATTCCAAGCTTCTCTGTAGGGGACCAAAAACCAACAGAAATTTAAGTTAATAAGAACCAAGACAAATGCAGACAGGGAAAACATAGCTCTTGTATCAAACTGCAGATTATTAAAGTTAGGATAAAGTGAATTGAAGATTAATAAGGTATCTTGGTGCAGTGGGAATTACCTTGTAAAGTTTAATTTTTCTCAGGAAGAATTGAGACTACAAATTCTGAGACTGAAGGACAGCATTGGGAATCAATAATATGTTACTGAAGGAGACATTGTCCCAAGGGTACCCATCTCCATCCAGGTGCAAGGGCGCCAACTTTCCACTTTCACCTCTGTGGCGGCAGGCTACAGGACTGGGGAACTGCAGTCTTCCGCAATGTGGCCAATCTTTACCCTGTCTTTGTTGTCACCCTCTCTCTTAGGAGCTATGCCTAAGATGAAGATGGCCTATAGGCACACTGACCAGCTCTCAACCTAAAGGGACAAGAAGCCTGGCCACAAACATTAGGGTCTGGGACCCAAGTCAGTTGCAGAAGCTGGTATAGGGTCAGTAGCAGGATTATTTACAACCAGGGACCTCCGAGATAACATCTTCCCTCTGCCCACCCCATCCCCATCTGAGCTCTAGCCCCATGTGGAAGTTGGCTGTTTCTACCTCCTTCAGATCCAAGGCCTTCCTCATCCCCAGAAGAAGCTCTGAGTAGTGGGGCAGGGAGATGCCCAAAGCATATGCTTCATGTGTGCAGCCAGCTCTCAGGCAATGGAGGGACCCAGGGCTGTAACAGAGGGACCCAGGGATGCAACGAAGGGACCCAGGGCTGCACAGAGGAACCCGGGGCTGCAATGGAGGGACCCAGGGCTGCAATGAAGGGACCCAAGACTGACATAACTTTATTTTAAGCATCTGCTTATCTGGACTCCAGGAAGAACAAAGGCCCATGTGCTGGGAAAGAAGGTCCAGATCTTGGTAAGATTAAAAGAAAAAAAAAGAAAATCAACCTAAAAACCAACCTACCGTGAAAGAGAGTGGTGAGTGCAGGCATGGTGAATGTGTTCAGTGGAGACAGACACATGCATTGGCACAGCAGCCGCTGCCAAGCCTTTAGTAGACGCATGAAAAGCGGCTCCTCTCCATTTAGCACCCTAGCACTGCTGCTGGCGCAGCGTCCGGGCCCTACTCACCTACGCAGTTATCACACAGGCTGCAGTGGGAGGCTCGAGGGGGGCGGAAAATCTTGCAGGTAAAACAGTACTTTAGCTTCACAGTCTGGCCATTGATGATGACTTCTTTGGTTCTGGGAGGTGGGCGGTACCCCCCTGAACTGGTGCCGTTGGCAATATCTACAGAAAGAAGGAAAAACAGCACACACCGTCAGAACACCATTTCAGCCCTGTGGTCCCTGTCACCTGATTCAGGGACCAGGTCTAGTTGTGGTCAACATTCCTAGGGCAACAGCCACACTTGACTGCCCTGTGTTGTCATAGGCAACCGTGGCTTAAGGAGACTCTGAACCTATTCATGCAGGCCAGAGACCAGATGAGGGGGCTCTGGTCAGAGGCCTGAGAAGGTTTGTGATCCACTAGCAGAAGTATGCTCTCCATGGGGTCACGCCCACCTTTCCTCTTCAAGGCATGTGTAGGAGACGGTGTGGGAGAGGTACCCAAATGACTGCAGAGCAGGGGTTCCTGATCTGGCTACCAGTTCACTAACCATGGGCCAAGACCCTAGAATGGTGTGGTTTTGTTCCAGCAGCCAGTCTTGTCAATGGACTCAGTGACCTTCCTTTTGTCTCTTGAGCTGAGTTCTTCAAGCCCAGCTGAGGCATCTCCCTGCTTTGCCCATTAGCCTAAAAAGTACCAGTGTGGGGTGATAGGGGAGAAATATCCATTTTACAAACATCTATTTCCATGAAAAATTATTAAATGCATATTTTTAAAAAATCACTTGCATATTTTTGACACTATTATTTTTAGAGCCAGTTTTTAAATGTTAAAATAAAATACAAATTTATCTCTTCTCCCCCAGAATTTACAATTATTTATTTGTATGTGAGAGAGGGTGAGCATATCATGTGTGTGTGTGTGTATATGAGTATGTTTGTGTGTGTGTATGTGTATATGTTTGTGTGTGAGCATGTATGTGTGAGTGTGTGTATGTATGGTATGTGTGTGTGTGAGAGAGTATAAATGTGCATGTGTGAGTGTGTGTGTGTGTGTGTGTGTGTGTACAAGTCAAGGAAGTCAGTTCTTTCCTTTCCAGGGTTAGAACTCAGGCTGTCAGGCTTGGTAGCAAGCACCTTTGTCCACAGAACTGGCCCCTGAGTCTTATTTTTTTTTAAAGTTTCCTTTGATCTCACAGTTGGGTTCTTCTCTCTGGTTGTGTAACAGGAGGCTGCTTGTTTGTCCCGGCCACCCAGAACCAAAATAACCACACAGAAACTGTATTATTCAAATCACTGCTTGGCCCATTAGCTCTAGCTTTTTATTGGCAAACTCTTACATATTAATTTAACCCATTTCCATTAATCCGCATGTCACCATGAGGTCGTGGTCTACCAGCAAAGTTTCAGCAGTCTATCTCTGGTGGCTCCATGGCATCTCTCTCTGACTCCACCTTCCTCTTCCCATGCTAAGGGCCAAGTCAGTTCTTTATTCATTAACCAATAAAAGCAACACATAGACAGAAGGACGTCCCATACCATGGTCACACATGAGAATCAGCAGGCAGCTGGTTACACCCCACCCCCGCACACATCACATACTGACTCTTGAGACCCCAGCTCTGGAGAAGGTCTGTTCCAGCTTTATTCACAGGCTGACTCCTCACAGCCCTGCTAGGTCAGCCAAGAAGAATCTAGGGAGCCAAAGAGAACAGCAAGAACCCTTTGAGGGCGTTTGCTAAGACTCTGGAGTGGTCCCAGAAATCTCTGGAGCTGGTGAATTGAGGGTAGATACTCATTTTCGTTCACACCCACTATCATACCCAGCACACTTAGCCGATTCCCAATGTGGTAGGCATCAGTGACATCATCAACACAAGCCCTCCACACAGTCTAGACAATTGTCTGAAAAGTTCTGAAACTACTGGTATCCTGCAGTTGGCCTTAGAATTCCGATTTCATTGGGGTGAGCAGAATCAGGCATGGAGATTTAAAAGGCTCCTCCCAGATACGCTAAACAGTAGCCAAGGCTGACAGCCAATAGCATGGGGTCCACAGAGCATTTATTTTATGCAACAGTTCATCAGAGAAGAGGGCTCTCAGCTCATGCAAAACATGGCATAGGAAGCTACATTTTGCCCAATTCTCCAGTGACCCCTGTACTTCAAGCCTTAGAACCTAGGTCCATGGTGAACATGGCTTCACTCAGAGACACACCACTAAACAGACCCAGCCACCTTAGCCACTCATGCAAGCTTAGCTACACTGATGGTACCTGGGGAGCTGAACTCTTCTCCTCACAGAGAGAATGCGTTAGAGGCTGTGGGATAGCCTTCGAGTTTTGTGTTAGTGAGATGCCCACCCCAGTGGTAAGGAGTGCTTTAGAGCTGTTGCTTCCATTGGCCACAGGTGGAAAATGGAAGTTCCACCAGCAGGGTGCAAACAAACAGAGATGAAGGAGCGTTCAAGGAAGGTCATGATGGGAACAACAGGACAGTTCACCCCTTAACCGCTTCTCAGAACTGGGCCTCTTGCTTAGAACCATTAGATAGCCGGGAAGCCAACTTTGGGGCCATAGGTTGGTTGCCTTGCCAACCTGGATACCCTCTTGGTACCCTCCCCCAACATGCTACCCTGGTGACCTCCCTATCAAGCGATGCTAAAGCCAGCAGCATCCAGTGTGCATAACGGGAAGAGGAGTCAGGATGGAGGATGGAGAAGGCAGGGACCGTGCCACTGTGGCTGAGCACCAGGAGGAAAGGACAGACTCAAAGCACATTGGTGAGGAGGGAAGATCTCTGTGAATGCCAACTGTGTGGCTTGGAGGCCTAAAATAATCTGGCAGTTTATGTCAGCTGTGACATGGACTGAATGTATTTAGCTCTAGCAAACATGAGTTTAAAAAAGCTAGAAGATCAGTTACAAAGAAACTCAATCAAATATCCGTGTTAATTTCACCCACAAAGCTTTGAAGCTGCATCCCCAAGGTGAATACTGTAAAAAGCAGAGATGGCAAAGCACCCAGCACCAGCCAGCACATTGTAGCAAGCTTAGCCCTGCACAGCACCGTGTAGCAAGATTTGCCCTGCACAGCACCATGTAGCAAGATTTGCCCTGCACAGCACCATGTAGCAAGCTTAGCCCTGCACAGCACCATGTAGCAAGATTTGCCCTGCACAGCACCATGTAGCAAGATTTGCCCTGCACAGCACCATGTAGCAAGCTTAGCCCTGCACAGCACCATGTAGCAAGATTTGCCCTGCACAGCACCATGTAGCAAGCTTAGCCCTGCACAGCACCATGTAGCAAGATTTGCCCTGCACAGCACCATGTAGCAAGCTTTGCCCTGCACAGCACCATGTAGCAAGATTTGCCCTGCACAGCACCATGTAGCAAGCTTAGCCCTGCACAGCAGCTTGACCAAGTGAATCTTTGTGAGCGCTCCTCACAATAGATCCAATTGATCTTATATCTCCACAGCACTCCTTTCAGAAAGATGAAACTTGTTACAAAGTGAGCCGAAAACTAGGATTCAACAGATGGTAAACTATAGCTTAAGCAGTTAGCCAAACCCTAAAACCCATTGAATAGGTAATTAGAAACTGATACACTAAGTAGTAATAATAATAATGAAATAAAAAAATTAAAAATTGAAATATCGGAAGACCCAATTCAGAACCCAACTATGCCATGGACTGATGGGAAAATCAGAGGACCTATAAAGAAGAAAGCAAACAATAATAACAAAAATTATCAATGAGATAGTATTTACAAAGGGCTGACCCTGCGTCACAGGTGCTGGGTGGGACTCAGGCGGCTTAGAAGGTCTCCTGTGGCTGCCTGCCGAGTCATGAGTCTCCTGTCTCATCTTCCTGGGCCTTTGGAATCGGATTCATTATCCCCAATGACCCTGGAGTAGCTTTCTAAATGTCCACAGGATCCTCAGAGCCCCCAGGCTGCTCTGCCCACTGCTGTCTTACATGGAGTTCACGCTGCAAACCTTGCAGCCCCTCTGCGTGCTCCGGAGGAGCCAGCTGCTGCAGGGCTGGGCCATACGCACAGTGGTCCCTGCGCTGGGCTGGAGATCATCTCAACTTTCAGGCCCAGTTCAGGCTTCTCTTGTGAAACTGGCTGGCACCCATGGGATCTCACTGTGTTTATCTATTTACTGAACTCTGCTGGACTTCTATGTGGCGCCCTTGACACATGGGGCTTCAAGCACTAACCTAAAGACACAGTTTTCCTTCAGTGTTTGGACTGAAGCTGGTGGCTGGTCACAAAGCTTGTCCCCCTTTGAGCTTTTCAGCAACAGCTGCAGCCCCAGGTACACAGCATACAGGCTGAAAGGGGGAGTTCAGTGTTCTGGTTTAATCCCCAATTATTCTCTGTGGGACTTTTTGTGTGTGCGTGTGCAACAATCGCGCTTCTGTTTCTGAGAGATGTTCTTTGTGCCTTTAAACACAGCTCCTGGGAAAGAACAATCAAGTCTACAATAGCTAATCATTGGAGAGCGCTAGAATTTGGGGGTAAAAATGGTCAGCAGCTTTGTAAGCTTAAGGAACTACTCCTTCCCAAGGGCATTTTACACACGCGTTCTGAAGGAAAGCACAAAAGCCTGAAATGACTTACAAGCACAAAGGCCCCTTTTCCTAATGGCTGAGTTGTTGGCAGAGGGGTGGAAATGATAATGTGTATTTGTGCGTCTGTGTCTGGCACCAGCCTTGCAGTCAGAACAGTGGGCAAAGACTTAGGGGTCCTGAGGGTAGGAAGGAGAGGGTGGACACGCGTACTCAGGAATGGGAAACTAACATTGAATGAGGTCTCAGTGAAAGAGAAATCCTGGGATAGCCAGGTGTTTCTGGAAACTGTTCCTTAACATCTGCCTGCTTGTTCAAGGCCTGTCTTCGAAAGGGAAGCCATTGTTTTCTCCCGAGGGAGCAGGGTGCTTACATGAAGGACCCATTTGATCCCATAGTGCTGATTTCTAGCCCAAACTGCTATAGGTAACTGGACTCTGCTGTCTTACACTACAGGAGAAAAATGTCACCTTTGAAGATGTGGAGAAAGATTCTCTCCCCAGCTGAAGAGTTCATCTGGAGGAGTGGCATTCCCTGGTGCGCTGAAGTTTCACAGACCATTAACTTACTGACGGGGCAACCGCCAGAGCGGTGGGAGTCTTTG